TTCGAGGGAAAATTGAGGTGTTTGTTTTTAATAAAAAATTGTGTTGTAATCTTTATACATTTAAAATACAGACTAATTATATAAAAAATATTGTCTTTTCAGTGTAATAATGCTTCCATAATTTGAAATAAATATTAAGAATAATTTTAACGTTTGCCTGTTCTGTTCGGTTCAAGACGCCGCATAAATGTGAACCTAGTCAATATGGCTGCGCCCACAAGAATCACGTTTCGTAGCTTAACATTATTTCTCGGCGACGTTTAAAGTCTTATTCGAGCGGTCAAGGTATCAGTGAAAATGCTTAAGAAACTTGCAACAATGTGGCATCAGTACAAATATAGGTTTGTCCCTTGGATTGCGGTAAACTTGAGGAACAGGTACTAACTATATATGTATGATGTTTTTGATAAACCTCGGTACTTTACCAAATACTACTGTACTGTGACATTTTAAGCGGGCGAAATAATTTAGAGCCCCTAACAAACTTATGAGATTCAGTTATCTTATGTCCGAAGTTGATTGCTCCCTACAAAAAGCAAAATAAGTATATTATAATAATTTTAAAATGTTATTATCGTTATTAAAAAACGAGAGAGTTTGGTCAATCTAAATCATGTTCAGTGGTCTAAAGGTTCATTGGTAAAAAAGTGAATAAACGAAATAAAATTAAGAAAACGAAGGTGGTTGAAAACTCCTTACAATGTCGGGTATAGTATAGAATATCAGAGTACAGTACATGTATTTTGTGACAAAATGTTAAAAGAAGTAGAAAGCATTTTGATAATTTATGGTCTTTATTTGCTATATCTAATTAATTGATTTACAAATATGCCATATGCATTAAGCTACATTTTAATGTGTTCAAAGTTCAGGAGAAGCAATATTTTATTTAATGGGTTGTTTTAATATATTGGAATGTCTCATGATTGCCAGTGGTTTTCTGTTTCAGAAAATTAAGAAGTGTTCCAAAAGGATTATCGGATAAAGTAATTACAGATGAAGTGTTGCAAGAATGCATAGTGAGATTTTTCACTGCTTTAAACAGTGTAAATGAGTGCAATAGATTAAGTGATATTAATCAGCAAATTTTAGAGACTGGAAAACATTATTCTGATAACATGAGAATGAATGACCTCTCAAAAGAAAGTAATTGTAACAAAAATGACAATCTTTTACTGACAAAATTTGAAAGCATTGTGAAAAATGAAGAAAACGTGGACATCACTGTTTTATATAAGAGAAATCTGAAAATCATGAAGACAGTTTTAGGATTTTCCATTGAAAGAACGGCAAGTTATCTAAAAGATGGTGGCTATGGGGTTCAAGTCACGGATGGGACAGTCCCAAAAGGAGCTGTTGTGGCACTATATCCAGGTCAGCAGATATATGAATTGAAACAAATAAATAATTTAAATGTATCTGCAGGGCTAGATCCCATGTACTAGCATCAGATCCTCTATCCTACCAGTTGTTCTGATTGCACATTTATTTGATGAGAGGGAAGAATTCAATCAGAAATGCTTCTAATGGTTTCTTTATATCTAATAACTAGTGGGTGTTCTGATTTGAAAATTCATATTTATGTATTGACAGGGATCTTATTGCTCAGTTTTCTGTTTGCTTTCAGGAACAATTTATGAACCTTTTGAGCCAATCTTCTTCCAGTCTCTCCATAATCAGTTTATATTCCGTTGTATTGATGGGGTATATATTGATGGTAATGACAGGGGAATTTCTAAGATGATATACAGGTTGGTATATACTGTTGAATTTACTTAACAAAATATTTAGAATACACATGAAATTATGCAAAAGAGCAAGTACAATCCAAAGGGAGTACTTCATATTTCACAATGTTAACAGTGTGATAGAATATCAGTTAGGTATGTATAACTTTCCTATATGTATTTTATTGAAGAAGCACATAAAAAGGAACAAATTAAGACACTGAAAAAATTATATTTATGTATTTTCTTTACAAAGAAACAAGTGTGGCTTCAACTGCCCTGTTTTTAAATAAAATTACTTGTTAGTATAGTGATGGCTTTGCAGGATGTATTTTTCTGATATCTTTTTAGATCTTCAGCATTCAGAGACCGTCTAAGTCTTGAGAGTACATATGACCTGACGTGGTTAACCCAGTATCTTGTCAATCCAATGGCAGTAGGACAGTATGTAAATAATCAGTCTAATGGTGAGGTTTTCCTCTTTTATTAGAAATATGTGTTTTTACACATAGTTTAAAATATCAGGAATTTGTACAACCAGCCAATATAAAGAACAGTAGTTTCATACAGTAACTTGGTAACATTCTCATGAAATTGAAGTATTTTTAAGTATGAATGAATTAAAAATAATAATAGTTAATATTTTTTCTGACAGTAAATGATAATTGCCTTTGAAATGATATATGGATGAATTGCTTATTTAAAAACATGCTTTGACGTACAAACTTACTTTGTTTCGTGTCATTGTTTATGTTGATTTTGTTTTAATAACCAGAGTATCCTGCAAATGTTGCCTACCAGGAATTTGAAATCACCAATTCTTTCCCTCATTCTTTGAGAAAGTATCTGCCAAATGTCCATTACAGTCCCTATAGTATGGAAAGCCACATGTCAGAAAGGTATGCTTTGAAAGAGAGTAGATAATTTTGTGGATTTTACTTCTCCATGATTTTTTATTAAAATGTAGATTTGACAGAATGATGTTCAGGTTATCATATCTTGATAATTTTCATGTGTTATTTTTGGCTGTTACAGAAAAATGCTGACAGTACACCTGCAATCTAGCCATGTGTTTAATGGTGAAAATGCTACACGATAAATCACACATGTAATTCAGTTGGTTTCTTAGTCATTCTACATAGGTTTTTGCAAGGAAAATTTTGCATTTAAATAAGAGGTTAAAAATAATTATCTTTTGTTGAGCTATCTATATTTCACTATAATGGCTATATCCACTTAATATATATATTCTTAATTTCAGAAATTTAAGAGTTGTGGCATTGATATCTCTGCGAGAAATTCAAAAGGGAGAAGAATTATTTTCATCGTATTTCACGGTGGTACATTCATAAGGATATGTCAGTAACATGTCACATGAGTCCTAAGTATGATTAACTCATACCACTTCAACACAGGTGTGAAAATACCAGTATGCTTCTTTTACTGCATTTGACTTTATTCAGTTCACTTAAAGGTAAAATACTTTGTTTCTTACTGAATTATTTTATTTGTAAATTTCTTGTGCAGGGTTTTTTAAAATAAGTTATAAAAATCATTTAGTTATAAATTGTCTGACTGTTGCAAAATGGCAATAAAAAATTATTGTTAAAAGATTATCATAATTATAAAAATGTATTGTATCTAAATGTAAAGGTCAGAATACATTGCGATCAGCATGCATGTTGGAATATTATATGTTTGGTTAATTTTACAATTTATTTATTGCAGGTGTCATGAGTCGACTTCAAGAGCTATTTGGATGACTCGTCTAACACATGGATGTTAAAAATTATTATTTACATTTTGATAAAACTTTTATCATTTACATTTTGATGAATCAGCTTATGATATGGAGATAAAAAGTTTCAGCACCTCCACACTTACATATCCATTATAATTCAATAAAACCATCGTCCAGATCATCAAGTAGGGACAAAAAGTTCTGAACAATCACTTAACCAAGTTGAACTGCAACTAGCAATGGTTTATTGAAATAGCAAAGAACATTGTTCATTTTGGACATTTTTGGTGCCATTTTTGGTTGTAGAAACTGCAAGTTTTTCTACACTGCTACAACAATGAGATCCGGTATGTTATTGCTTTATTGTTATTGTTTATTTACTTCTATACTTGATGTTAAAAGATACAGTTGAAAAAAATAAAGTTTGTTTAATCGGGCAAAGAACTGGACTGCAGGCAAAATAGCTAACAGGTTATTTCAAAATCCTGTCATCATCAGATGCAATGGAGAGGTATCACAGAATAATAAAATCATGGCGAATTCTGTACTAGTACAAGCAAAACAAATATTCTTATGTAAGCATTCATGATCTTTTATAATTTTCTTGGTTTCATGGTGTGGCTAAACACTTGTCTCCCATCCCCTGCAATGAATGAGAAGGTCATGGCTTGAGGTGTTGCATCAATGTAGCCAAATCCACCAACTCTGTGTGTGTCAGACCAGTGGAACTTCAGTGAACCACTAGGGACATCATTGTGCTTTTTAGAGTGGGAACACCAGTTCCCGCATCCTATGATAAAATAATCCACAGCGGTGCCCATCATGGTATGTTGCAGATACTGAAATTGCCATTGTCAAATTTTAAATTCTGAAACACTAAAAAAGGTGTTATCTCGACACTAAAGAAAAATCCATAAAAAAGGTAGATACAAAATATGCCCAGTGCCATTACTTTAGATAACTGTTATAATACTTTGATCATTAGTTAGATTTTGGAAAACTGCTTAATGCAAACTGGCTAAATGTGGAAGCATTTATTTACCACATGAAAATGTGTAATATCTACAACTAGACAATTAATTAAACATTTAATCAGACAACCAGGCAATTAATAAGACAATTAAAACGGTTACACAAAATGAATTAATTTGGAATAAATGCCCACCTGCAGACTATGTTGGTGTCCAGCAAAGTATGATGTCACCTTGTACTTGTGCAACAAAGGCATCAACTTCTTTGTCATAGTCAAGGCTGGTCCATGTTCTCCAACTGATATCACTGGATAATGGCCAGTAACTATGACATAGTCAGCCCTGGAAAATGTCAAACAAAATATCCAGGGATAAATATTGCTATTATTTGCGTAACCACTTTCTCTTTTCTGTGTCTCTAATAATACAAAAAAAAATGACAAACAGAAATGATCTCTGAAATAAGATTGACATTCAAATCCATTAACTAAAAAGTTTCCATATAAAACTTGAGCAAATCTCAACATTGTATTATTTTTATACACATATGATATAATTTTTGCAAGACTAATTAAGATACTGAAACTCATTTGTCTTGTGATGATAAGGAGATGATTGTATGTACCTGTCATGTTTGAGGTTGTTTTCAAGCCATTGCAACTCTGCCTCGGCCTTCTCAATATCTTCTGGCCCCTGAGGCTGTTCATCATCGAAGTCACTCTTGACATTTCCACACATCACAATAGTGTCCAGCATGTAGATGCTCAATGTGGCATTAGAGCCAGGGATAGTAAAGTGAAGGGGATAATAATAAGTTGGAAATTTCCTGCAATTAAAATTGGAAATAAAAAAATTACATATATTGTCAAAAGCATTTTGATTTGAAACTCCTGAACACAATGGCCTGTAATATTTCAACCATTTCTCTAACATCATCAACTATTATTTATAAATATTTTATTTAATGACAATGTTTGGTATTACTGTAGAACAGTTGGTATAAAATCTTGAAGTTTGAATTGGGCACTTTTTAAATACACATGGCATTCAAAACAAAAATGATAGTCCAAAAAACATGATGGCTGCATTGAGCCTTTAGTAGTGATTGTCTTCTTCCATACTTTAACAGACTCTTTCCAGGTGATAATTTGAAAATTTCCAGTCAGGTTGGGACAGCTCTATTGCTCGGAAATGATATCCCACAAAAGGCATTTTTACAGCTAGGTCAGGTGACCATGCATTGTCTCTGCCAGTTGTTTAACCTAGGCTAATCACAGGCAGAAAGTGTATTCATTTTGGTTCTCAGTTTCTCAAAGCGACTTTTTAATACCTTGTATAGTCCCTGAGTCTTGGTGAGAATGGTATTGGGGAGCTCTAGAACATTTCATTTTAAGTTTGTAAGCATCTTTGTTACTTACCATCTGTGTGACAGTTTGGAATACTCAAATTGTGCAGCAACATTTCCGTTATGGTCATGGTTGCCTGCTATTACATACCATGGAGTCTGCAGTGCTTGGTGAGTGAATACATTTTCAAAAGTTTCCTGAAATAAAATGGAAGATAACTAGAAAAATAACTATTTCTTTATGTCCTAAAGTTATGTATCTGTCTGATACATGCAACATTGTGAAACACTCATATTCATTAAGGATATTGTAACCCTTTGTAATCATCCAGATATCGAAAATCAGGTTTTTTTCCTGCATTTATTTATTCAATAATGCATCTACCTTTGTGCTGATTTAAAACAATAAAAAAAATCCCTCACAAATATAAAATATTGGCATTTATATTTCTTGTTGCAATGGATAAGCATAGGTAGGGAACTCGAAGTGTATAAAAAAATCATACAATGTAGAGATTTGCTCAAGTTTCGTCAATTTAACACTTTTATATTTTGAGTTGTCATTAACTAGGACTTGGTTACATCATGAGCTGTTAACAATCATTTGAGCTGAACTCATAAAATATGAGTGAAAAAATTATTTAAAAAAATTGACAGTTTGATAGTTTGTTGAGGTAAGCTTCTATCAAATTCTGTTGAAGTTAAGACGCGACAGGCAGACGTATAGAAATTTGAAAATGATAAAGAGAACCTGCAATGGCTCTGAAAATCAGGCTATGATGTCTGAACATCGATATTTAATTTATGCAGTAGCAGTGAGCTACATGTATTAATACCTTGAACCTGGGATCATGTGCATCTTTAACACCTTTGTAGTAAAAGTTATCTCCAAGTACTAAGGTAAACTTGGTTTGATACTTTTCTGCAATTTGCCCCATTCCATGAGCAACTGTTTTCTCCAAGTTTGTGTAGTATGGTTTGGAAGGGAGACCACCAAAATCACCCACGGTCATGAACCTTAAACCCTGAGGACTGCTTGAAGCCCATGCAACTGAAGTGAAAAAAATTACCAAACCGATCATATTTTAAAAATCTGTTTCATTTCAAAATGGCATAATATTGAAATCATTAAAAAATCATACTACATGTATAAGGTGTACATGTAAGTGTAAATGTGTCTGTAAATATTTTTATTATTTATGAAATCTGTCTGACACATTAAAAGATTGGCACATTCTTCCACATAAATCCTCGATCTGATGGTTTTAAAAATTCCATTCTTTCATAATATTACATAATATTGCAATTGGTGTGGCGAAAATAACAGATTTTTAAGTCTTCTGGTTTTGTACTATCATACACAAGTGCACACAAAAGAAAATATAGACTAGACAACCATTAATTTCATTTTAATTCTTACCTGTGAACATACAGCTGAATACAAGCACAATCCTTGTGGTCAACATTTTGCTTCCAATCAGGTGAATTCAGTTTACCCAAAACACATGGGTGGTCAACTCAGTGGCTTTATATACTGTTAAATCAACTCTCTTATTCGCTTCCTGATTTAAACTGAGTACTGTCCTTATAATTAGCTGACCAGCACGCTAAACATAACATCACAAAGATAACCATCTATTGTTTACTAATTTCAATCGCTCAAAATATTTGGATGACAGAAATAGTTATCATGCACGTGCCTAAGCTGAGAATAACCTATTGCAGTAGCTCATCATGTTTTCAGTTTAGTACATTATCTGTTTTGAAAATTGTTGACTTTATAAATTAACTCCAGGGCTTTAAAATAACTCATAGATCAAGAGGAGTGGCATTTTTACTACCTCTACTTTCTCTCCTTGCAAAGGTAAAATTGTGCATTTTGAGGCATTTAATTTGCAGTACTGAGCATAAATAATTAGCTACAAGATTTTATGGGCCTCTTTAAGGGTACCTGATGGGGATGGATCCATGTTTTGGAAAGAGGCAGCCCGCTATTCAAACCATATTTAGAGCATATTATTACAGGCATGATCAAATGCACTCATTCCATTACGTTAATTTGTATCCATTTTTATAGAGAAATGAAAAATGTATTGAAAATGTTTCCTGACACACACTCAATGAAATGTAATTCAAAACTTGACAAGTGAATATTTGCAATTTGTGTTATATGCAAGGAAAAAAGTGAAAATCCCATATAAAATCTACCCTCTACCAGGGGGACAGATTGATTTTCACAGATATTCACAGATGTCTCTAGATAAATAGACAGTCATTTTGGTCTGCCAAAAATGTCCACAATAATAACTGTGGCCCTGGTAGAGGGTATATAAAATCTACTCTGAGAGGATGAGATAAGATTTGCCTATGCTCTGGTCAGGAAGGGAGCTTATCATACTTTTCACTTTGCTTTTTCTTTATACTCAAACCATGAGACTCATCTGTTTTCGTCAATGGGTTTTTGAATCTGTATTCTTTGTCTTTAGTACTTGCTGTGCTTGTAGAAATGATCAAAGGGTGGCCAGCAGGGGTTTCAGACTGGGCTGAGTGCACATAAAAAGTTTCATGGACAGTATTAATATCTTGACAAAAATGAAATAGACACAAAGGTTGGCAGGACTTGGAATGCTTATTGAGGATTACACAAAATACAAGCTCAGCTTCAAGTACAAGAACTAGCTTTGATTTTATCAGGGAATTATATCGTAGTCTACGATATAATTCCCTGATTCTATTAAGCAAACTGGTTGGTATGGTTATCATGAGCCTGTCAAGTAAAGCATTATAACATAACATAAAATTTGGATTGGTATGGTGAGTTTGTCATTGACTGTTTCTAAAATTTAACATTTCACTGATAATGAATTGTTATTAAACAAATCAGTGATTATAAAAATCCATGCTTTTGGTTGCTTTTGAAATTATATACGAGGTGCAAGAGAATAGTCCAAAGGTTCATTTTTCTGAAGGTCTGAAATTGGTCTGAATGTTCACAATGACCAACTGAATGACCAACAAACCATTTTATTTAAAAACAGATGACAATGTTATGATTTTTCTTTTTTAACCAATGAACCCTCAGACCAGTTAACCCCTAGGACTATCGAGACACACCCATATTACAAAGTAGGATATCTCTGTGATACTAGAAAGGGTGAAAATATAGTGTACGCTGTACCAGGTAACAGACTTCTGATTTGGAGTACATAATAATGTCAGCTAAGCCTTGAGTAGAGAGTAACATGGTGCCTGATTTCTTGGATATATGTATGTCATGACATTTCTTTGCACTAATATATATAGTTTTTGATGAGACCAGGGGCAATGAGTTCTGAACAAACTGACATTTTGGCTAAACAAGGTGTGCTCCTCTCAAGGGCATTTTCTTTTAAAAAAACTTTGAAATTGCTGGCTACAGACCTGGAAACTACCCCAGTATTAGAACTTCTTAATCAAACAAAGCTAACAACTACAGACAGAAAACAAACAAGCAAAACATACATCAAATTTTAGAATCTTTTATTCAGTTGTGAAAATGGAAAGGCACCACAATGTTATAAAATCAAATAACATCATTGTTTTAAAACAGAAGAGAGAAGAAAAGTGTCTAGGATATTGTTCCAAAGAAAAAAATATCATCACTCTCCAACTACAGTCATAGGAAATTAATAAACATTTTTTGCAATATTTGTAATGCCATCCAGTACAGATTTACTTTCTTGGTTTCATGGAGTGACTGTACAAATGTGCACCACTTCCACTTATAAAAGAGAGGGTCATGGCTTGAGGGGTTGCTTCAATGTAAGCAAATCCGCCATTATGTTTGTCTGCCCCATGGTATTTCAGAGAGCCACTGGGCACTGCACTGTGGTGTGCTGTGGAGGTGACAACGAAGTTTCCAGATCCAATCACAAAATAATCTACAGGCACGCCTGATTGGGTATGCTGCAGATGCTGAAATTGACATTTTCATAAAAAATAACATTAACTGTACTAGAAATGTGTATATCTCCCAAAATACAATGACATAACAAAATAACCATTTTACACTGACCATGGAATGTGTAAACTATTTTTCCTATAGCTACAGACAGCCAGTCCATTATGAAATTGCTAAACAAAGTAAGTATAAAGAATTTGAGTATATTATTCATATCATTCCCATGTATGATTATGTTGCTTATATGATAACATTAAATTTATATGTATACCTGCAGATTGTGATCATGTCCAGAAAAGAAAGCTGTCACTTTGTACTTGTACAACATGGGCATCAGTTTCTGTGTCAAACATTTAGTTGGTCCATGTTCAGCAATTGATATCACAGGGTAATGACCAGCAACTATAATGTAGCTGGCCCTAGAAAAGGTACAACAAAATGAGAAATTCAATACAAGATTTTCTATCAATTCTCTCTCTCCCAACCAGTTTATAAAATGCACCAACAAAATGATTTCTAATAGAATTATAGCCACAGACTTACATTTTTTTCATTGTTGCCCTCTCAAAAAAAAAAAAAAAAAAAAAAAAATGTATATGTCACATAAATTTGCCCGTGAGACTAATTGCCTTATATCAAAAAATTGAAACTCTTTTGTACTACTAATGATATAAAAGAAATGATTACTTGTTGTTTTTGAGATTTTCCTCAAGCCAATCCCATTGGGCATTTGCCACTTTAATATCTGCAGGCCCTTGGGGTTGGTCCCCTGCAAGGTCATGCTTGGTGTTTCCACAGAGCTGAATAGTGTCCAGCATCAAGATGCTCACTGTGGCTTGGGAGCCAGGGATAGAAAATTGAAGGGGGTAGTAATAGTGAGGGAAATTCCTGCAAATAAAATTGGAACAATCAAATGCCTGCCTGAAAGTGATAATTTGAAAATCCACATGTGTTACTTTGATCAAATCATTGCATGTTTTGACTGAAACTGTTCAAGTATAGAAGGAACATACATTTACAACCAAGTTGGAGCAAACCCAAGATGTTAAACATGTAACTTAAAATAACTTGTGAAATAATTAATATAATATAATAAAAATATTATTATAATGTTATTATTATGTTTTTATAATATTTTAAGACAAAAAATTGATAACTGATAGAAAAAATGTTTAGATGTTAATCAGTGGAAATGCCTATAAGTAGACATGCATTTGTTCAAATACATATTCCTTAAAAAAGGCTACATGCACAAATCTGGTCACTTACCATCTGTGTGACTTTTTGGAATACTCAATTTCTGCATCAACATTTCCCCTATGATCATGATTGCCTGCCACTATGTACCATGGTGTCTGCAGAGCTTTGTCAGTGTATACATTTTCAAATGTTTCCTGAAATTTTATGTCAGCAGTGCTAAACAATTGCATAACAAAATGAAACCAGCATGTGAAATGACAAACTGTGAATTACTTTTATGTCATTTTGCCAGAAAATTATCAATATTGGCCACTGACTGAAATGATATATGACAATCAACCTTAAAATCAGTCTTACCAACTAAGAATTAAAATTCTTGCATGTTTACATTTTTGACCTACTGCTAGAAAATAACAAATCTATAAATATGATAGTTCTATTAAATGCTGCTTTTCAAAATTACATTTGGATACAAATAATCTGCACAAACATTAGATAGTCTAAGGGTAAAACAAAGTGGAACAATCATAGAGACATACATGAAATCTAGCATCATCCACATGTTTAACACCATCATAGTAAAAGTTATCACCCAGTGCTAGTGTAAACTTGGTTTGGTACTTGGCTGCTGTCTGCCCCATGGCATGAGCTACAGAGGTCTCTATATGTGTGGTGTATGGCTTGGAGGGGAGACCACCCCAGTCACCCACAGCCAAAAATCTTAAGCTACTACCTGATGCCCATCCAACTGAGAAAAAAATTAGATAACATATCTGAGACATACATGAAACATTCCACATGAAAAGAAAACGTTAAGTGGCTTATAATAACAAGGTGAAGACAACTTTCATTAACGTGCCTTTCATTTAAATTCTTACCTGAGATCATGCAGCACAATGCCAGCAATACTCCAGCAATTGCCATTATTTTTTCTTCTAGTGTTGCTGAATGAGTATGCAGCTGGTATTGTGTGTTTATCAAAATGCATGCTTTATATACTGCCAACATAAACCCTCCTTATGGGTTGATCAGCAAACCTAACATTACACTATAGATATAACTGGATATCATTTACCAATATAGCCTGATGTTTTGCTGACAAACAATTGTTCAGAATACCAAGTATGTGACACAGGTTGTTAATCATACATGATATGCCTAAAATAATGAACTAAAGCTGAAAATAGCTTAGCTGTTAATGTTGTCCATTTAACACAATCTGAGCCCTGAAAATGTGCCATTTTTGAGGCTGATAAGATGTTAAAATATTTGACCATGTGTGTTAGCTGCAACTCTATTATCAAGCTTCAACATCATAGCCTGTAATGCTTGTCGGCAGACACACTGGTCATATTCTGAGTTGAGAATTTGCCAGATCAGATAATATTGTAAAGATTTCAAATGTGACTATATTTTAATTCATAGAAATCTAGTGTGCAAATGTTTTGCCAGACCACAAACTTATCTTGAAGTGCAAAAACCATGGCTGATATTACAAAAACCCTCCATAATCGTAATGACAGTCTATGAATGCCCCCAACCATTTGAAACATATTTTTGGAACTGTTCATTGCTGAGCAAAGACAGTTACTCCATCTGTTATTGCCTCCGTTTATCTTGCCTGAACTATGACAGATATTTCTCTGATACAAGAAAAATAATTTCAAATATCACCTCTTCAACAACTGGTTTTTTGAAGTGATATGCTGATTGTCCTTCTAGAATGATTACATGCTTTAATTTCTAAGTCAATGAGGAAGACATTTCAGTGGAAAAACTGATATTACTTCTTTCTTACAATTCAGAGTGGAAAGACCACCATCCACTGTACTTATATTTAAATAATTAGCACATTTTTAATGATTTTTGAAAAACATTTTAATGTTAATTTATGCAAATGAGCAAAGCAAATAAAATAAGTAGCAAAAATCATATTTTATTTTCACCTCTACATGTTGTTTCTGGAATGTAACAGAAAAAATGGAATGTAACAGAAAAAATATTCAAAACACTTTTAGTAAGAGGAAAATTAATATTATTGGCTGGCTAGTTGTTATCATATCCTTATGTCATTAAACATTTTCAAAAAGCAAGTATGTCAAGAGAAACTGTAACAAAGTCAAGTTAGGATAAGGACCGCTGACAATTAACTAGCTGTTAATATCATTCGATGTAGGAGAAGAATATCACAATAGACTGATATCAAATTGGTAACTTGCTTCTTAAAAGCAAGGAGATATGTTTCAAGGATTTTGTTCCATACGGCACTCATCAATAAGTTTTTTAAAGGATTTTAAAAAGGATACAAAATTTGCAATGCAATTCATTGTAAGTTTACTTTCTTGGTTTCATGGAGTGACTGTATAAGTATGTGCCATCCCCTTGAATAAAAGAGAGGGTCATGGTTTGAGTTGTTGCTTCATTGTATGCAAGTCCTCCTGACTTTAATTTATCAGCCCAGTGGTATTTCAGAGAGCCACTGGGAACTTTGCTGGCATGTGCCATGGAGGGATCCACAAAGTTACCTGATCCAATGACAAAATAATCCACAGACACATCTGACTGTTTGGCCTGTAGATGATGAAATTTATACAAATATGAAACTTGTGTAATTGAAAATTAAGAAGAAAATGTAGCCATTTTTCATTATTATGCAATTCACGTATAACAAAGAGTGCAATGGTTTGACAAAATAATACTAACAATAAAAAACCTAACCATACAACTTATGCTCTCACACCATCATGTGAGAAGTATGAAAAAAAAAGGCAAATGAAACACTGATACACTGTACATGTAACATGACAAGGTAGTGCAAAAAGGAAACTACTTCAAATTTTATCTAGAAGTGGTTTAGCAACGTCTAGTTTTGGGATGTTGCCACAATGGAACTGAATACTATTCCCCAGGACCTTTGGTAGTGACTGAGCCCCGGCAAAACAGGCACAGAAGACTTGGCACATACTAGGGTACTTGATAGATTGAATCATCAGCAGTCACATCAGCTCAATTTGTTTTCTAGGTAGACATTGTCGTTCTAGTAAAAGAAAATTTACCAATCTCAAATGGCTCCAAATGATAAAAACCAAGAACATTGTTCATAGAGTTTCCAATGAAGGAAGTGTTGATTGTATACATCCATACCTGTAGATTATGATCATGCCCAGAAAAGAAAGAGGTCACTTTGTACTTATACAACATTGGCATCAAGGTCTCTAAGAAACATGATGTTGGACCGTGTTCAGCAACAGATATCACAGGGAAATGCCCAGCAACCAAGATGAAACTGGCACTACAAAAAGTAAAACAAAAGGTTATTAAATACATTTTGGTCATCTCCCTCTCTCTCACATTCAAAACATTTTGAAGGCCAATTACTGAAAGGTTCCATCTAAGGGTGCATTCCCATGGTTTTTAGATCAATCTATCCCCATGGGGAGTCTCACTAGATTACTGTCAGATAATCCGGCCTAAATATCTGTCCCACCTACTACAAGCTGTAAGGGGGTAATTAACTTTCGTGCCCGCTCAGCTGACAGCTATTTAGCGTGAACCCCCAGTGAGTTAGGTCGATCTAGTTGGAACAATCTAATCTCTGGGAATGGGGTCTTAAACTGCCATTCATGCATTATTATTATTAATGTGTGTCCCCATTTATATCTATTAAAAATTGTTATTAAAAAGTGTGACTATTACTCATTGTTTTCAAGCCACTGCCATTGCGTGTTTGCTGGGGTACATGTAGGTCCCCTAATTTGTTATCCTTGGTGTTTCCACAGAGCTGAATATAGTGTCTAGCAACAAAATGCTCACTGTGGCATTAGAACCAGGGATAGTAAAATGAATGGGATAGTAATAGTTTGGGAAAATCCTGCAATTAAAATAATAAATTATTATTAATTATATATGTATTTGATAATTGGATATTTGTACTGAACTTTGTTGCAAGAATACACAAAAGTTTCACCTAAAAAAGACACAAACTTACTAATATGACCTTGTGATCTGTTGAAATTGACCAAATGACATGTAAAACTTGTACATCTTAAATGTGCTAGTTAAAATAGACAAGATCTTAAATAAATAATATCAAAGCCTACATAAATGACTGTTTTATTTAAGTTAAGCATACATCTTTTGTGCAGCACTCTAACTTACCATCTCTCTCTGACTTTTTGGAATACTCAATCTGTGCTGAAACATTTCACCTATGGTCATGGTTGCCTGCCACAAGGAACCATGGTGTCTGCAAGGCTTTGTCAGTGTAAACATTTTCAAATGTATCCTAAAAAAGATTTTAACCTTTAGCAAGTGGCCATAAGCAGCCTGGATAGGTATTGTTAGAAATTCAAAAGTGTGTGTGTGTAACTGTAGTTGCAATTCTTGTGACATTTGATAATTATAAAGTAATTTTGTTTGAGTGATATTCTAGCCATATATACTCATTTGATGCCAACTTTGGACTCGGGCAATAAGGTCATGCATATGGAGACAATGATAAAACCATGAAGGTGCAAACTGAGATTTAAAGGCTCCATTCACTTTACAATGGTTTTGTCATTTAAAAAAATGTTTTCCTTTATATGACATAAATTTTGAGTCCATATTTACTTAAGCTAGTAACATTGACCTTCTCTAAAGTATGACAGGTGCAATGTTTGCCAAGTTTGATAAGTAAACTGTTATCTACTAGCTCATATCTAACTTCATGGCAAGTATTCATAAAAATCTGAAGCAAGAAATAATACAGTATTAGGCTCATGGTATTTTGCTGAGGTTGCAAAACTAGATTTCTTGTGTTATTCAGTAAAATCTACACAATGCATTATGCATTGAGAATTATATATATGTATGAATCTAGACTTTAATATAAATACAACTTATATGTAATTAGCTAAAAGAAAAATAGGCCAAAACCAATGCATTGTACAGTATACATTAGCAAGAAATTCATGCCTTAGCACTCCTTTGGACAGCTGATTCAAAAAATGGTTTTCATTCTACACACTTTGAGGCCTTTGATTAAATGTGATAGGACAGCGTATACATACAGCTCAAAATCTTCAATAGGAGTAGTGATACATGAAATTCATGATAAGTATACATGTATGATAAAGTTTATTTGGTTCAAAAGTGAGTCACTGTAGAAGCGTTTTGTTCCCACATACTTGAATGAAGTCAAAAGTAAAAGATGTGTTGGCACTTCATTAGGTGCGTGTGAGAGTTTCCGTCCAGAGTTTCTCAGGCGAAAGTGAAAAAGATACAGGTGAAAGATTCTTATTGTTTAATTTGTTATAAATTTGATAAATTTGCTCATGTCCTCCACCAGTTATCAAGCAATGTCGGTGTCAATGAAGAACTCAACTGCAGTCTTCAGTTCCAAATCAAAAGGTGTCTTTATTCAATTTCAATGAGATATTTATAACAAATTGCCAGTCAAAATAACAATCTTTCTCATTTTTTTTTTCTTTTTTTTATCGTCCACGCACTAGTACCTTGCATCAGGTATCATCCACATCTTTAACACCATCAAAGTAAAAGTTATCACCCAGTGCTAGTGTAAACTTGATTTGGTACTTGGCTGCTGTCTGCCCCATGGCATGAGCTACAGGGAATGTACGCACAGACAGAAAACTGTAGTGGCTGGCTGGGTTTTGCCTGGGCTCGGTAGCTCAGTTGGGAGAGCCGTCACACAGTTTGTGAGGGTCCCGGTTTCTAATCTCGGTCAAACCAGGTGTTATCTCCCCCAAAATTGCCACAAATGTGGCAGGGCTGTTGGACTCATGTCTTTTGGCACTTGTGGGAGAAATGTACCCCTGCGAAAATTTGTCTCATTTAACGTTCACTTACGGTTTTCAATCTATTCTAGAAAATTTGGTGTATTTCTTCACAGTACTAATGTTGTTCTGTAATGAAAGTAACATTTTGAGAAATGTTTTTGGGAAGTCCTTCAGAATGTCCTAGAATAGATAAAGGACATTTTTCATTAAAAGAAAAAAAAAACATTGTTTGATTGAGAACCCTAAGTGAGTGTTAAATAAGATTTCCGCAGGGGTAGTGGCTGGCCTGGATTGGCCTGGTAGCTCAGTTGGGAGATCAGTTGCATGGTTTGCAAGAGTCCCGGGTTCAAATCCCAGTCGAATCCCAGGTGTTTTCTCCCCTCCCTCCCCTCCAAATCACTACAAAACTATGAATTGTGGGAGTGTTACTAATGAGGCCACTGGTAGTACTAGTAGATATCAGTCTGTAGTCTTAATTAAACGAGCACTTCACTGCCAAATGAACAGTTGGCAAAAACAAAAGGCCCAGGTGGGGTAGATTGACTGCTGTTCATGCATGCTGCAAAGGCAAAGCCCCTATTGCCCCTGAAATATTGAAGCTCTTTTGTACTACTAATGATATGAAAGAAACGATTACTTGTTGTTTATGAGATTTTCTTTAAGCCAATTCCATTAGGCATTTGCTACTTTAATATCTGCTGGCCCTTGAGGTTGGTCCCCTGCAAAGTCATGCTTGGTGTTTCCACAGAGCTGAATAGTGTCCAGTATCAAGATGCTCACTGTGGCTTGGGAGCCAGGGATAATAAATTGAAGGGGATAGTAAAAGTGTGGGAAAATTGGCACAATCAAATGCCTGCCTAAAAGTGATAATTTGAAAATCTACATGTGTTACTTTGATCAAATCATTGCATGTTTTGACTGAAACTGTTCAAGTATAGAAGGAACATACATTTACAACCAAGTAAAAGCAAGTTCAAGATGTTAAAGATGTAACTCAAAATAATTTGTAAAATAATTAATATAAATATTAAAAAAATATTATTAAAATATACTTTTATTATATTTTAAGACAGAGGACGGCAGCCATTTTTAACCACCGGACAATGCTATCCAGCCTTGATGAAACTGGGCCCTGGTGTTGTGAAGTGATATGCCGATTGTACTTGTAGATTGATTTCATGCTTTAAAAATAATTTCTCAGTCAATGAGAAAGATATTTCAGTGGAAAAACTGATATTACTTACAATCCAGAGAGAGAGAGAGACCACCATCCACCATACTTAATTTCAAGTATTTGCACATTTTTATGATTTTTTTAAACACCAATACTTAATTTATGTAAATAAGCAAAGCAGATAAAAGAAGTTGCAAAAATCATATTTTATTTTCACCACTATATTTGTTATTTCTTAATGGGACATCACAGAAAAAAATATTCAAAACACTTTTAGTAATAGGCACATTAATATTATTGATGCTTATGAGTAATTCAGCAATTAAATCTCCTTATAAAATTAATAGAATAATACAATCATTATGTATAGAAATAAAAATAGGCTGACTAGTTCTTATCATATGAAAATAAACATATTTAATGTATTGGTGCTGATATTTTGAACTTAAAATTTTCATTTATGTTAATAAACATTTTTTACAGTATGTATGTCAAGAGAAACTGTAACAAAGTCCAGTTAGGATAAGGATTGCTGACAATTAACTAGCTGTTAATCTCAAGTGGCATTCGATGTAGGGGAAGGATATCACAATAGACTGATTGTAAACTTGCTTCTTAAAAGCAAGGAGATAATTTTAAGGATACTGTTCTATATTGGCACTCATCAGTAAATTTTTTAAAGGATTTTATAAAAGGATACAATAATATTTGGAATACAATAATATTTGCAATGGATTTCCTTGTAAGTTTACTTTCTTGGTTTCATGGAGTGACTGTATAAGTATGTACCATCCCCTTGAATAAATGAGAGGGTCATGGTTTGAGGGGTTGCTTCAATGTATGCAAATCCTCCAGGTTTCAATATATTAGCCCAGTGGTATTTCAGAGAGCCACTGGGAACTTTGCTGACATGCGCCGTGGAGGGATCCACAAAGTTACCTGATCCAATGACAAAATAATCCACAGACACATTTGACTGGTTGACCTGTAGATGCTGAAATGGACATTTATATAAATATCTGTAATTGAAAATTAAGAAGAAAATGTAACTATGTAAACATTACATAAGAGTGCTATTCACATATAAAAAAGAATGGAAATTGGTTTGACAAAGTAGTTCACACAATGGACACTCTAACCACACAACTAATACTGGCAAACTTAATCAAACTGAAATCATTCTTTTCTCCCCATCATGTGAGAGGTGTTAAAAAAAAGGCTAATCCAACACTGATACATGTAACATGACAAGGAAGTGCAAAAAGGAAACTACTTCAAATTTTATCTAGAAGTGGTATAACAATGTCTAGTTTTGGGATGTTGCCACAATGGAACTGAATACTATTCCCCAGGACCTTTGGTAGTGACTGAGCCCGGCAAAACAGGCACAGAAGACTTGGCACATACTAGGGTACTTGATAGATTGAATCATCAGCAGTCACATCAGCTCAATTTGTTTTCTAGGTAGACATTGTCGTTCCAGTAAAAGACAATTTACCAATCTCAAATGGCTTCAAATGATAAAAACCGAAAACATTGTTCATAAAGTTTCCACCTGAGGAAGTGTTAATTGTTTAAATCCATACCTGTAGATTATGATCATGCCCAGAAAAGAAAGAGGTCACTTTGTACTTGTACAACATTGGCATCAAGGTCTCTACTAGACATGATGTTGGACCATGTTCAGCAATAGATATCACAGGGTAATGCCCAGCAACTATGATGAAACTGGCACTACAAAAAATAAAACAAGCAATTATTAAATACATTTTTGTAATCTCTCTCTTTCTTATATTCAAAACAAACTGAAGGCCCATTGCTGAAACTTTCCATCTAAAACTGCCATTTATGTATTTTTGATATTTATGCATGTTCCCATAAAATGCTGCACCATTAAAAAATTCTTATAAAAAATGTGATTATTACTTATTGTTTTCAAGGCTGCTTTCAAGCCACTGCCACTGTGTGTTGGCCTTCTCTATATCTTTTGGCCCCTGGGGTTGGTCCCCTAATTTGTCATGTATGGTGTTTCCACAGAGCTGAATAGTGTCCAGCATCAAAATGCTCACTGTGGCATTAGAACCAGGGATAGTAAAATGAAGGGGATAGTAATAGTTTGGGAAATTCCTGCAATTAAATGATAAATTATTATAAATTATAAATGTATTTGATAACTGGACATTTGCACTAAACTGTTGCAAGTATACATAAAAGTTTCATGTAAAAAAGACACAAAGCCTGCATAAATGACCGTTTTATTAAGGTTAAGCATTCATCTTTTATGCAGCACTCTAACTTACCATCTCTTTGACTTATTGGAATACTCAATCTGTGCTGAAACATTTCCCCTATGGTCATGGTTGCCTGCCACAAGGAACCATGGTGTCTGCAAGGCTTTGTCAGTGTAAACATTTTCAAATGTATCCTAAATAAAGATTTTAACCTTTAGCAAGTGGCCATAAGTGGACAGGTATTGTTAGAAATTCAAATGTGTATGTGTGTAACCGTAGTTGCAATTCTTGTGACATTTGATAAAGTAATTTTGTATGAACAATATTTTAGCCATATATGCTCATGTGATGCCAAGTTTGGACTCAGACAATAAGGCCATGCCCAAGGAGACAATGATAAAACCATGCTAACAAAGGTGCAAACTGAGATTTAAAGGCTCCATTCACTTTACAATGGTTTTGTCATTAAAAAAAAGTTTTCCTTTATATGATATAAATTTTGAGTCCATATTTTCTTAAGCTATGAATATTGCCCTTCTCTAAAGTATGACAGGTGCAATGTTTGCCAAGTTTGATAAGTAAACTGTAATCTACTCATATCTAACTTCATGGCAAATATTCATAAAAATCTAAAGCAACAAATATATACAGTGCTTGGCTGTTGGTATTTTGCTGAGGTTGCAAAACTAGGTTTTTGTTGCTTTACTTAGTACAATTTACATGCTGCTTTATGCCTTTAAAATTATATATGCACATATGTATGAATCTAGACTTAGATATTTATATATAAATAGAACTTAAATGTAAGTGGCTAAAAGAAAATAGGCCATAACCAATGCATTGTACAGAATACATTAGCTCAAAATTCATGCCTTAGCACTTTAATTTCATTTAATTTGATCTCAAAAACAGGCCTACCCAACTACCAGACTTGGCACCGAATGATCCTGAATTCACCGGTAGATCAGACCACACTACCCGTTTTCAAGGTGTGTGTCAGATCGCATTACACAGTATCATACCCTGAACAAATTTTGAGTGGTGATGCAATACTTTTCAACCCCACTGAGAATCGTCACTATCACATCACGTACTAGGCAAGAGCGGTGTCGCGTCTGATACTGTGAAATGCGTACTAACACACATCTCGAAATCGGGTAGTGTGGTCCGATTTACCGGTGAATTCTGGATCATTCAGTGCCGAGTCTGGTAGTTGGGTAGGCCTGAAAAACAAATTCTTAATTTATCTATTGTATTACTTTTACTCTGTATATTATCAAACTTGTCCCAAATGGAAAATGATTTCCGATTTTTAAAATTGGCTTAATAAAGTCTTATCTTATCTTATCTCATCTTATCCTATAGGTAATTTTGATATGTATACTATGCTAATGCATGAAACCAAAGGCCTCAAAAAGTGTAAATCAAAAACCAGTTTACATGGGAGCTCTCAAATTTTTATCTTACATCTCTCTCATCTTTTTAACTCATGCACTCCTGTAAAGCCAACCAGTTTTGCTATAGACAGAGCCATGAGTAAGAGTCATCTGCTTGATTACCAGTTAGGCCACTGTGAAATTAAGCACCCAGAAAAAATAAAACCAGACTTCTTCAAATAATGATAATGATGTAATATTTTTCCTGCCAGAAAACAACCTACTGTACTATTACTAATGTAAAGAATAGTAGTTGCATAAACACTGTGATTATTTGTGTTTGTTTCCTGGTGGGGAAAGATTTCAAACAGATTTCTTGCAGAGGAATCTGATTGTTTGTTGCGGCCGGCCATTCTCTCCTCGAGAGCTTATAAATGATTTGACAGAAACCTTACTGGTAGACAGGCAGACGAATCTTGCTCTGTCAATGGGAAAACTGGTTGGCTTTCCAGGAATGTGCAAGTTGAGGAGATGACAGGAAAGATAAAGATTTGAAAACTCCTGCACCACGGCTGGTGCAGAAACCAGTTTTCATTTTACACTTTCTGAGTCCTTATTTTAATTGAGTTAGTACAGTGTACATACAGCTCAAAATCGTCAATACTGGAGTGCTAACGCATGAAATTCATGCTAAGTATACAATAACAGTACTTATATACATGTATGTGCTAGTACCTTGAATCTGGTATCATCCACATCTTTAACACCATCAAAGTAAAAGTTATCACCCAGTGCTAGGGTAAACTTGGTTTGGTACTTGGCTGCTGTCTTCCCCATGGCATGAGCTACAGAAGTCTCTATATGTGTGGTGTATGGCTTGGAGGGGAGACCTCCCCAGTCACCCACAGCCAAAAATCTTAAGCTACTATCTGATGCCCATCCAACTGAATTAAAACATAAGCAAATTTTAAATAAATGATTTAACTGATTTGGTGACAAAATGGCAAACAAAATGAGAAAGGATTGATGGTTATCAACTTAATCAAGACTATTTAAATTATAAAAAAATATTTATTTAGTTTATATTCTTGAATTTAAAGCTGTCTATTAAAGAAATCATCACGTTGACAGGATTTAGATTTCAATTCGCTCAGTTTAGATTTAAAAAGGGATCGAATTCCAGCACGCGTTGCTTAAGTCCCCCCCCCCCTCCCAGTATTATAATTCCGTTCTATCTTTGGATTTGAATCAATCCGCCAGAATCACGTCCTTACCTGCAAACACGCAGTTTAACACAAACACCACACATTTGAAAAACATTTTCTTCCGATTGAGGAAATGAATCAAGCTGCTACTCAGCAAACATCCACCCTAAAACTTAATAAGTTACTTAATCACTTGAAGTTGAAAACTGGCTCTTATTCCACTTAGATAAAACTGGGTCAGCTCAGGTAAACTTGTAATCACCACCATTTTGACGCCTACGTCACTAGTCATGTGACAATGACGAATAAATACTTCCTGGAACTGGAGGCAGGTCAGAATTTCTGAACTAAATAAAGCAACAGCAACAAGCAGGAAGCACTAAACTAAAGGTATGTTATAAAACACAATAGTTGTTTTACTTTATCTTTATTTTTAAACTTTAAAAAAGTAGTCATTCTTTTGTGAGCTTAATGTATCAGATATGTTATAATTTGGTGGTTAGGTACGGTTATAACTATAAGGAAGACACTGTGTGAAACTTTTGCTACACTTTGAAATGCATCGTGTCAGTGAGTGGGTGTTGTGTGGGTAGGATCGATCGATTCAGTTTTTGTTAAATATATTTAGGTAGTATTTTTTACTTATTAAAGTTCATGGTTGGCGTTCTAATCCAACAGCATATACTTCGTCAGCAATATTCCATAATATTGACCTATTTCAACTTAAGCTGTTATTAACGTGGATACTATTACTTTGATGGGATGGTTTCAAATCAGTAGAGAGGAGAGTGAGACCTGTCAGAAAGTGGTATCTTATCATTATTTGTAGAAAAAAATTGCATAGTATGATTAGATATCAGTTGAATAAGTTGGATGTAATGTTGGAAAGTTGTGAAAAAAGTTTTGGATTGAAAGGGTATTTGAAATGTATATATGAACCAGTAGATTCTATGGTATTTGAATTGTTGAGCAACTTTTGTTTTTTTATATTAATAGAGACTGGCATATGTTAATATTAAGACACACTTTTTTCATAAGTATCGAAAAAATTGTCCAAAAGTTAAAGACAACTTCATTAAGTTTGGCTAGTTAAGTTTTACCCATCTAGTAATATTGAAAAAAAAAAAAAAAATAGTCTGTCTTCCATAAAAATAAATAATTATTTGAAACAGAATTAAATGGCATCTTTTTGTTGTATTTTACAAAGTATTAAGGCTTTAAAGTCAGTATAGCACAGTCAGCTCAGATCCTTTGGAATGACACTGGCAGACAAACATGAAGACACTGAATCTGTGTGCTTAAAGTATTTTCAGTTATTTAAAAATTACAAATTAGTCATTCAAACTGAAAATTTTGAAAAAAAGTACCTTTCTGAATAATGTGTAAACACAAGTTTTGCGGATACTGGTACGAAATGCATACTTGTTTGTGGATATTAATTAAAAGAAAACCAAACTTAAACTAATCCTTAAAACCAGGGAATATGGCAAAAATTTGGTGTAATAATTATTTAACAAATATGTAACTAAAGTTTTAGCTGATGATAGCAATTGAGTTAATTTAGTTCATCAAAAATTTCTTGCACATTCTCATAGAGGCTTTTAAACTACGTATAATCTAACAAAAGATAGGAACATAATGCCAGAATTTTGTCTTTGATTGGTTTCTTTTAACAATGGTTTTGTCCTATTTTTGATGCATATTTGACAATGCCACTGATGAATTATACAAAAGGTTTGAAATTTTTTTATATTCTTTGGCTTAAGCAAATGCTTATTTTCATTTTGAAACATTTCATTATCTTGGAACTAAGTACAACTGCTTTTGTTTGAACTGATCTCTCAGCAAATGTAATACAATTATGTGGAAGTTTGAATAAGATGATATTATGCAATCCTTTTCATTCCTATTTCTTTAAATTAAAAAGCATAGTTATTGTACATTTCATTGAATTTGTTGAGTACTTTTTCTTAAGTACACCATATGAAATATAATTTTATACTATTGAAGATTGATGCTCGAGTTAAAGCTGATTTACCAAAGACTATTAGAAAACAAAAGCCTCTCTTAAGCTTCAAAGTTTTAAAAGATGAAAGAAAGAAAACATTTTTTCTTTTGTAACAAGTAATTTATTTTTGCAGGCTTTTCTCATTTGATTTGGCAATAATTAGACTTGCCCACCCAGTGACATTCTGTTCAATTGCATGAATAATCAACTTCTGAATTTCAGTATTTTTGTTTATGCCATAAGATCAAATTTTGCAATAGTAAGGCCCTGATTCAAGTAGGGGTTTTATATTGTTTGAAGTACCAAACATTTTTGCTTTTTTATTTACTCTTATAATGGAAAATGGATTACATTTTATGAGATTGTACAATTTTCACTATAAATAACTGTAACAAATGATTCTTATGTTGTAGCACTGTACTGCTTAAGAATGACATTTTTATGCAAGAGAAATTAAAAAATGACAATATGACTAAAAGGTTGAATTAACCAAACAGGTTCCAAGTTCTTACAAATATTCTATGGAAAAGTGCTTAATCTGCCTTTTGTCTATGCAGTAGATGGACATAATTAGTTTCATATTTTCCATTGCATCCTTTAGCCAAGTCTAATTTCAAATACTCTTAGTGTTACACCAGGTCAAAAGATTTATTTAAATCAATAAAAGCTGTCAAGAAGAAGTATTCTTTATTCAAAAATTGAATAGCACTCAGCATTTTACATAACACTGTGAGCCCATAAACAACATTTAATATTTCTAATGTCAATACCAGTTACAATGCCGGAAACATTTTTGTGAGTGCATTCAGATGTATAGATGGATAATAAATCAAATGAATTATGAAATACGGTGAAGGGCTCCATATTTACTCTATTTCACAGTCACAGTTTCCCCATATTGAATTGTCCAATCACTAAATGCCAGATCTGACCTTCAAGAGACAAATTGAAGACTTTTCGGAGAATGTTTGGACATTAAGCTGATTATAGGCTTGTTTGGTTTTATTAAATTGGGTGGGGACTAACATTCCTGGAAATCATGAAACACACAGATAGATTAGTATATATAAGTAAATGATTTAACTGAGAAAGCACATAGCAGAATTTTTTAAGATATGAAAGTTGTGATTTAAAAAAAAATGGATTTGTTCCCAGGGCTAACTTATCTCCTAGTTACAGAGGAGAAGCATGTCAAAGACTTGATACATCTGTTTACAGTCTGTCTCAGAATAAATAAGCTGGATAGAATAAGGCATCGGTCAGCTCATGTTTCTGTTTATCTGTTTTGCTGTATTTGAATATTGGAAGTTTGTAATAAGCTGACTTGTGTCAACCTTTTTTTGTAGGGTTCCCTATATACCTGTCACTGCAAGAAAATGTAAGGTTTAGCAGCATAGAGCTGTTTTATCACTTTCATTTGATTGTGTGCACCAACAATGGTGTGAGATACAAGGTTATGATAGCTTTGTTTTTTAATGTAAAACTGCAACCTCCAGTATGACTTACTAATGTTTCAATCGATTTTGCGTGAATATGTTCACTGAAATAGAAATACAGTATCCATGATTTCTTGCTGTTTACTAAATGTAGATGAGTGATAAATAGGAGGTAAATGGGTTCTCACACTCCATCAGCTACCTAAAATTTGTACTGTATGTTAGGCTGTTTATTCCATTACAGATCATTTGTCAGGTCCTTAATATATCTAAATGGGTGCTGTTGGAATGACTATTACGTAGGTTGATGTGGACCAGTCACTGTTTGGTACATGGTTGATGCCTGTTCAGCAATATCATACTCCCATTAGACTTAATAAACAAGTACAGAAATTTCCCTTTGTCATTCTTTAATTTTAAAGGGTTGGTTCACTGGAAAAACAATTTGTTTGATGTAAATAAGCATTCGAAAACAAGGAAGCAATTCAAAAAAAAATACTTAAAGCATGGACAGTTTATTGGATAAGTATTAAGACTGATATGATTATCAACCAGTGGGTGTATGTGTTATGTTATATTCATATATATATATATATATATATATATATATATATATATATATATATATATATATATATATATATATATATATATATATATATATATATATATATATTAAAAGTTTTACTCCCAAAAAAGTTGAAGAAAAGCTATTTAAGAACAGTATTATGTAACTTTCAAATACTTACATTTGGTATATTTAATTTTTTTTATTGTTGCAGTAAAACAGTCCCGGCTGTAGTGTCCTAAGTTTTTGTAATTTAATCCTTTAGATCCTGTTTAAAAGTCACAATAGTAGCCAAAAACAAATGTATGTGATGTCTTGTGACAACACCATGGGCTCAGTGGTCTAACTGGGGAGTTTATCCTGCAGACAGTTCTGGAAAGCAATTAAATTTATAGACTGGTCCATTTTTGGCAAATTCCACCAGCAACTTTGGGGTAAGAAAAGATAGGAAAACTGAGTTTCTGTTTAAGTTTGCATGGAAAGTATTTTCTGTTCAGTGTTAATGATTGGGTAGGAATGATTGAAACACACAGAAAATTTTTTTTGAAGAAAAATATATTTGTAGGTAAAACTACTATTAGTGCCTGTATTTTAAACTTTTGGTGCTACTGTATCCGTAAGTGTCGTTGTTGCTATGTACTTTCTTCATTAATACCAATAAAGGAGAACCTTTTTAATTATTTTTAGCTATAAGATAAAGCACGTGCATAAAGTCAAGCTACTACATTACAATTCTGATACCTTTAAAGATGTAGCCTATTTGAATTTTTTAAAAGTGAGGATTTTTTTTTTTTTTTTTTTTTTTGTGAATTTTTCATTTTTCACACATTGCATTTTCAACTTGCAACTTTGAAATCCAGTGGGTCTGATGCCCTGTTTTGTTCACTGTCATGAAAGGAAATCCGTGTTATTAACTATAATTCTCAAACTTACAACATGGAACCTGTAAGTCACAATGAAGGTTTGGGAGTTTAGATTTTGTTTGAGATTCAGGTTATTCTTTCTGTTCAATAACTGGAAATTCCTGAATATTATTTTTGAAACTGGGGTTGTATTGGCTGTCCCCCCCCCCCCCCCCCAAATTCAAGTTTAAGTTCATAAACCACATCACACCTTTCCTCTTTTTCTGAAAGGTGTTTTGAACTTGCTTTTTTGTACATGTTTCTGCAGTGTTTGTCATCTGTATATTTATTCAATTTAGATTGGATTCAGATTATGTATAGGGGTCTTCTTGTCCTTGATTTACATTGTCTTTTGCCTCTCTTATTTCTCCTTTCCTGCATAAAAGCCTTTTAATGTCAGTCACCGGAGTCACATGCCAAAAACCAAAGTGGTATTGTGGTCTTTCTTAATCCACCAACTATATTCGAGTATTTTTATTGTAGGTTATCTGGTGCTTTCTTATTTGTCAACACATTGGTATTTCAGATATGTTGGTTTGTATATTTTGATTGTCTTTTTAGTAAATTTTTGTAATAATTTCAGAGTTGAAGCTAAAGTAAGAATCTAAGATACAGGAACCAGACAATTAAAAGAATGACTCGAAGGTTAGAACAGGTAATTAAGGCATTACTGTGAAAACAAAACATATATGACCAGAAAGAAATGCATGTCATGGCTAATTTCATATTTCTTACACACACACACACACACACACACACACACACACACTATGACATTTGTGACTTTGGCACTGTTTATTTGTGTTTTTTCCAGAAATAATGACTAGTTGACTTTCCATTTTTTTACCTTGACTATCAAATTAAAAAAATTAATGAATTGTTGTAGTGATATAATGAATAATTGGGCAGTAGGTAAAAAATCTTAGCTTAACACCTATGAAGGCCTTTATTATTATACAATCATGCATATAGAGCCAAAAGCTGGAGGTGTTACATGTACAAATATGAATTCAATCAACTCACAACAAAATTAATGCCTTAATTATCTTTTAATCTCCTGCAACTTTTATAACATAGATAAACTAGGGCATGCAGTATTAGCATTCAATAGAGACTGTGGGTGAATGTTTTTAATGGTTGACCCAGATAAAGATGTATCTACGTCCTGTTATTCGGGGCATACACAAACAACTAATAATGGGGTATATTGTACCATACAATTACACAGGAACTGTTGTGAGAATATATGTATTTACTTAGTGCCTGTATGAGCTTTTTACATGCAAGTGATATGCATTGTCACAAAGAAAAGTTTTTTTTTGTAATCTCCTTATGGGTGTACTGTAGCAACAGTTAGGATGTGTTATTATAGTGTTATATTTCATTTTAAAATTATAATTTATTGATTTCAAACAAAGGATTAAGTCAGAGTTTAGATTATATATAACATGTAAGTGAAATATTGTCATTAACGTATTGCAGTGTGGAATACATGGACTGGCACATATTCAAACTACAAATTCAAGTTTAGGAGAAAACAAAACATGTGACATATGACTTACTGCTGTCTGGTAAACTATCAACTGTCCTTTTTTTTTTTTACTTGTGTACCAAAAGTGAAAAAATGGCAGACTAAATGTAAGGATCACAAAAGTACATGAGATAAAGTGTACTCAGAAAATAAAGGATTAAATACAGAAAATGAAGCACTTTAGACAGAAAAATGAAACAAAAGGATAAAACCATACTGAGAGTGCAGAATTTTAAAACAAATCAACATGAAAAGGTACTCTAAATGAGCCAAAATGGGTACAGCGAAAGTAATTTTTCAGCTAAGTTTCTGAGAGCAAAGAAACATATTTCCCCCATCCCCATCTTGCCTACCCTTCAAATGTCACTAGTTACTGATATTTAGAACTGTTTAGATTGAAGATTATCAATCTATTAAGCTATCTTACCTTGAGACATTAAAAAGAAATTACCTCAATTTCCTGTGGGAAATTCTGTAAATATGGCAGTATTAATTTAAGTTATTAAAATCTGTCTGATATTTTCATTTTGTTGATGCAAAAATACTTATATTGCCCATGAGTCTAAAGTTACATAAATTAATTGGAAATGAATGGTTCACATACATTTTCCTGCTCAAGCAAAGATCTTGAAGTCAATCCAATTTGAGCTTGGGACATATCTGATAAAATGCTTAGAATCAGATTTAAACTGAATACCCTTCTTGAGAAGCATGGTAGCTAACTGGAAAAGTCAATTAGACATGATCACTTTACCCAGATTTCAGCTTTTATGGTTATTCAGGTGTGTTAATCTCTTTTGACTATCAAATTTGAATATGATCTTTCAAAACAAAAATGATTTGAAAGTGTCCTGTTTTATCAGATTGAATTAGAGAAGCAGGCATTTGAGGACCAAGTTTGAATGCAACACAATATTTAAAATAAACACAATTGATGTGATAACTTGAGTGAGAAAGATGCTTGCTTGTTTATTGTATCAGTATCATGTCATAAATCTAGCCACTGATGATTCTGGAATTGTTAAATTTCAAAACTAAAGTCAAATAAAGCAAGAAGATAAGATGTAAAAATGTCATGTCTATAAAGGCAATAAGATACGGAATAAGTGGAGACAGCATTTTCATATCAGACAAATCCATTTATTTTTATGGCCATGGCTGCCCCTTTCTCCTGTGTTTGAAAACTTGAACTTCAACTTGAGATTGTGATGGTCAAATGGTTATTAAGATATGAGAAACTGATAATCTACTAACCATTAGTTCTACAGGTTATTGGCAACCCTCCTGTATTGTCAGCATACCATATACCATGAAATTAAATGGAATTGGAGAGAGTATGCTAGGCAGAGGTACTTAACTGTTAATATCAGTACTCCATGGCTCATAGGGCAGACTAGATCCTGAATATAACACTGTGCTCACTGTTCCCTTTCTATATTCATTCATCACCAATGTGCAATAATTGCCACTTGTGTTAATAGTGACAAATGCACATTAATATGCCATCTATCTGAAGATGAACAGAATGCAGCGAGAATGCAGTTTGATATGCGTAGCAGCTACTAGCTGATCCAGTCTCTTGTTATTTACTTTTCTTGCCACTGATAACATAGCCATTAACATACATCTGATTTAAAGCTAAGGTACATTTTTTCACTTTTTAGGCAGATCTCAAACAACTTGTTGAAAAAAAACTGTGGTCATTATAAATTATCTTTTTTCCTTAATAAGAATAGATTTTTTTTTATAACTAAACCTAAATTTAGTACCATCAGAAAATTCTGTTGCTGTGATATTATGTATTGCATTTCTTCAAAGTAAAAGCTTTTGTCTAATTCCGGCAGTAAAAAAAAAGTCTTCTTGTTTAAATGGGAAACATTTCTGAAAAAGAGGAAGTCATGGGTCAGTGGGAAGGAAAGATAATGGACTGAAGAATTAGTCATGGCATGTAATGTTACTTAGGGCAATGTGTGGTTATAAGGAAAGTGAATTATAAAAATATGTAAACATCTATAAAATTATCTTTTAATACTTCAATCTGATATTGCTTATAATATGTGATTTAGGGATGATTTTTCCCTAACTATTGGACTATTCACAAAGTTCAAATCCCAGTGAAATGTGGAAGTGAGTTGTGAATATCAGACTTCCGTATTCTGTGCTGACAAAATTTTGTAGCCTATTTGGAAGGATTTATAAAATTTGCACTTCATTCGTGTCAGTTCTTTTCTATTAACAGTTGTCAATGCATTGGCTTTATTAACACTATAGTGCCTAAATACCACATTGTGGATAGACTGGAAAAAGTTGCAAAGCCTGATCTTGCATGTTAAGTTAATTGTCAATCAACATACTAGTAAACTAATAAAGAACAATGCACAATTGTCTTCAAAAAGTGGTTTTTTTTCTTTCCAGATGAAAAAACTAATTCCCAAGACATGGGGTGGAGCAACCAGTGCTCATGTATTTTTATGCAAGTTGCTTTCCTAGAAGATTCTTCATGGTTATATTAGTGCTGTTGGAACAAATGCAGTGGAGAGCAGGGCTGTTGGCTGTTTTGTTATGGACACTGTTGAGCACCAAGAGTTGTCAGTCTTACTGCACTCAGTATGGAGGTAAGTATTATTACAACATACTGATTTTCAGTGGTATGACTGTTTTGTAGTCACTGTGTCTGTCATTAAGAGTATTTAGGGCCAGATAGTTGAGATCAGTTCTTGTAAGACTTGGAATTTTTAGAACACTCAGTCAATTTTCTTTACACTTAATCCAGCCAATTTTTGTCTGTTTATGGTTTGGCATAAATCCAATATAATTTTTTTTCAGTAAAAAAAGTCCAAGATTGTTTGATTAATAGATTAATTGTTTCTACATAAGGAGGCACTTCTCATTCCTAATTATCTATGGTGTCAATAATGGGACTATGATTTTAAAAAGGTACAAAAATTCTACCTGGTATAAGTGAGAGTTTACTGGTACTTACTGACCTGCACTCTATAGTATTTTGTAAAATATTTTCACCCAACTTAAACCCCATGCACTAAAGCCATGCTCTAAATTGGAATAGAAGCAGAGATTTGAAAAAGTGAGAATAGATTAGATATCTGATAATGTTGCTTCACTGTTTATCATTTAGAAATATTTTTATGGTTTTAGGATCTTCACCACAGGCTGTCAAAAATACAAGACATGGAAGTCCATGGATTAACACCATATGCAACATTTAATCAATATGATTTATTATCAGTTTGTTTGTTATTTTCAGAACTAACACCATTGGATCCATATCTGACAGAAAATTCAAACTACACCCTCAACTGTACCTTAGACCAGACTGTTATTGATGGGATACGGTACAATTCATCGCAGTTGCATCTGCACAGCTTTGTACCAGGTCTCAATCCACTGCCCCAACACACCCGAGAAGAGCCAGATGAAAGAACGGTATTATTCCACATAGAGGCAGTCCCTAATAAGGGGAGGAACTATGAGAATCAGTATTACTGTTATGCTGGCGACAATGGTTTTTTAAGGGGAAAGTGCATTGGAGCAACAATTTTGCATGTTGGGCGTAAGTAGCTAAAATTAATGATAGTATCACTTTTGTAATATGGAAAGATTGTTAACTTATCATTGTTAATTTCTAAAATGCATTTGGATCCATCTTATCAATTAATGGGGTTGACATGTGACGCTGAGGATAAAGTGTAAAAAAATGCTATTATTTATCACATATGACATTTTAAAGATAGGACTTTAGTCAATAGTTCATTAAACTAACTTAGATTTTACACAAACATTTATCTTTGATTTAAATAAAGCATCTCATCAGTAATTAGGGTAGAGAAAATGGAATACGTTTTAATTGCTAGGCCCCTGCAGGGCTGGCTTGTGTAGTAGGCAGTGAGACCATTAGGGGTTTATTCGCCATCACTTTTAAGTGGGGTCGGCCATATTTGATCCACGGACCAGTTAGCCTTTTGACTATCTGTTCTGAATGCAGCCTAACATGTTTTTTACCAAGGCAATGAACATGCAATTATACAACATTTGTTTTAAACTTAACCTCTGTTTTCAGCCAAACCCCAACCACCAACCTCAGTGAGTTGTATTGTATATGCCCAGAGGTCCATGACCTGCAGCTATGAGATTCCACAGCAAGAGGACGCTGTGACTTTGTTATGGGGAGTGCAATCCCGTGTGTTAGTGTTTGGAACCTTGCTTTTTGTGCTTTTTCTCACTTTAACAAACTGGGCTCACTCTAATGTAATTTAAGTTTTGGCCAATTTATTTCAACCAACTAGGCAAAGTATTTCAGAAGAGATAAATCTGTTTACTTTTTGGTGGACATGGTATATTATTCAGTGAATTCTTGGAGCCTAATTGATTTGTAGAGAAATCATTTTTCTTTTGTTAAAAGACATTTTTTAACATTAAGGAAAGAGGGTAATAAAGAGTGATCCCAGTATTAATTCACCTTTTTTAGTTTCCTAAGAGTAGAGGTATAATTTGAAAAGAGAAATGTTTTAACCTCTAAAGTTGTGTTGATTTTTGTTAAAATTGTCACTTAATTGTCACAGTAAACTAATGCTATTTTACTGAAGATAACAAACATTGGTCTTGTGCTGTCCAAGTCTATGTTCATCAATAATGCTAAGTAATTAAAAAATCTTTCAGTTAATTCAGTCGGTGCAGGGACTTATTCTGCTGAATTGCAATAACATTTTATGCGCTGCCTTTAAAGAAAAAGAAATTCAAAATATCATGAACGTCCCCCATTCCCAGATCATATCATGTGTGCCTCAATCAGTGTATATGAACACTCACACTGTAAAAGGGTATGGTAGGTTTAGTATTTACAACAATGAACACATAGTGGTGAGGTTTTGTGTTCTTTCCTTGGGTTTCTTTAACATATTGGTTGGAAACTTTGATTTTTCAGTCAGTGAACTGCCTTTTAACAGAGGTAATGTAAGACTGGCAATAGTTCTTAACTACTGTCAAAATGGATGGAAATATACTTAAAGTGTAAAATATTTGGCTGCATTTTATGCTAAAGCACAATTTGATAAGAATCAAATTGTGTTTCAGAAAAGATATTGGCTTTTATTGTTTCATGGTGATTCATATTTGAAGAATTATTTTGAGTGCTGAAAATCTGTCAGCAAACATTGCCAGTTTTACAGTGCATAAGTTTGGTTAACCTCCACATTTTCATTGTTTTATTCTTTCCCTGCTTTTTGTGAAACATTCTGCTTATTCGTCAGCTTGAGACCTAATTACAAATTAGTATTGTCATTGTTTGGGATAAGGTTTATATTTCATAAAACTTTTAAACCTAAACCTCTGTCTGTAACCATAAATTTTTAATTTAAATTTAATTTTATCCCTGCACAAAGAAACTAATTGATTGTGATTTGTTCAAAAATGTATTCAGAACAATTGAGTGATGTCCAACAATCATGCCTTTCCATGCAACCCTGCTGCTAAACACCCTAGTTTAGAAATTAAAATTATGTGCTCACCAGGACATTTTGGATAACATTAGACTAACATACAAACTAGACATGCTGTGGTAAAAATATAAACATACAGTTGTTATGTTTTAATAGTTCTATTTTATTCAACAATACACATCTGCTACCAAGATTATTTTTAAGTAAGTTTTTATTAATGCTTGTACATGTTTTCCCTGGTTTGATGGGGTTTTCCAAAACCAAAATCATGCTATAATTTGCAAAAGACTAATTATAAAGTGGGTGTGGTTAATAAAACATATTAATTTGACAAAATCACACTGTATTCTCTCTTTTTTTTTAATAATATAATATTTGAAAAAGAGAAAATAATGTCTACTTTTATTTTTACAGGAATCGAGGGCAGTAAGTAAAATAATGCTACTTAGTACACTTATTGATGATTGATAATACTAACTATTTTTCCATTAATATCTTTTCAATTTTTACTAACACTGTATTTTTATAAAACTTCACTCTTCATGATGCACAAAAAGCTGTCAGTTTGTTTTGTTCTGCACAGTTTACCTATAATTGTTTAATATGCACTGATTGAAATTTTGCGTGATTGAATTAGCAGTACTGCTTTCTAGGACATTTTCATTGCTTGACAAATAATTCAAATAAAGAGATTTGCTTTTTAGGCCCTATTTCACAAATGCTTTTCTGAAAAAAATGATTAATACAAATACCAATTAATCATATTTTTATAAAAAGGCAAATGAGTTTGTGTGATTTGCATGGATTACAAAGCATGCCAGCTAATAAGAGAGTCAAAGTTTTGAACGAAGCAATTTGGTTTGATTTGCATGGAAGTAAATCAAGGCTATGGAAATTAAACATTAATGAAATTATATGTATAGCTATTAGATTATAAGCATCAGGTACTGGTTATTATTAATTTTTGATAATTAGTTTTTATATGGGTAGAAATATATGAAAAAATTAAATGAAGTTATCTCAAGCTCATGTTTGGACAGTCTTAGTTGGTGCCATATGTCCCATTAAACATGTGCACGCACGCTTTCATGCTCTGGTGCACACAGTCAAACACAAAACAGTTATGAATAATTGCATGGGTTCCTGACTTATTGCCAAATATATGCATGCATTGAGCACACTTTCAAGTTTCATGGCCTTTTATGGTCAAATACTCTGTTTAAAACCCATTTTGTTTCCTTTTTGAAGATGAACCAAATTTTTTTGTACTAGAATGTGAATGGGTTTTGGAATATTATTCATGTGCATGGTTGGATTTTTGTATTTTTATGGGTTTAAAGATTTTAGTATTGGATGCTCCTTTAGAGGGAAATGTCTGAGGTGCTAGAATTAAGGGAATCTGAAAAAAAATCAGAAACTTGAATTCAATAAACATTGCTCATGCTAATCATATGAAACATTTGAATTCCTTGAACATCTAATGCCAAAGAAGTCAAAACTTAACAACTAAAATGTTGAACCTCCTAGTCTTCTGCTTTCATTTACACTATGTTTTTTATGTATTTTACTTGCTTTCTTATTCTTTAATCTTCATGTCTGATCGTCTTGCCTGTTTAATGTCAAGAAAAAAAATTATATAGAATCACTTTTATTGATGATTTTCAAGTATTTACTATATTAATATTTAGTATTTATATGAAAAATCTTGCAGTCAGTATTTTTGCATGTTTATTTCAGAGTAACAACACCATTTTATTGTACAAATTTCACCAAGACATCCTGTACTTGGAGTGGTCATGGACGAGATAGCTTTCATGCAAATACTGTCTACTGGATAGCCCTTTACACAAACAATTCTTTTGGGCATGCATTTGCTGAGGGAGATCCTGACATTCCGGGAACTTACTTCAAGGTCAACGCATCTCTAATTGGTAAGAAGATTTGATATTCAACGGGTCTTCATATTTTGATTGAAACTTGAAAGTGTGTGTGCTTGAGAGAGAGAGAGAGAGAGAGAGAATCTCATGCATGTCATTATCAGGTACTCACTTTGCTATGACTGGTACCAGCTTCCTCTGTGTAAATAGAGATGTGAACAAATATTTTTATATATGTAGCAGGGCTTTTATATGTAGCAGGATAAGGGGTATGGGCCATCCAAAATAATCTAATTTTCTTCAAAGTTTCAGTGAGTCCTACTTTTTCAAGTGCTGTGAGGGGGATTTAAAAATAAACCTAAAAATATATATATATATAAAATAAAAATCCAGGGGGGCTAACAATAATTGGCAACTATATGTACTGCTGACAATCTTCCACAAGGGAAGTCCTTCAAGGGAAGTCCTTGTCTCGCTTGGATTGCGAACGGTCTCCCACTGAAGATATGAAAATTACTTTCTTGTCTTGCTTGGATTGGTACTATCTCTGGCTGAAATTCTTCCACAAATGAAATCCCTTGCCAGTGGTTGTTCAAATGATGGCTGGATGGTTCCCTGGGAAAAGCTATGATATGAAGTCAATATTGGGTGCCAGTTTCACCAAATCTAAGCAAATTTTCTTGACATTAAAAGTACACTGTACACCTTTTAACAATTTTCTCAAAGTCATATTTTCTAAGTCTGCATATCCTACAAAGAAATCTTTCCCAATTTAAATCTTAAAAACTATAAAAATTATTTAATAAAGGTACATGTTATTAACAGTTACTCTGAATTGTGAAGGAGGACATGGTGTTCTAAATGACTGGCCAGTTTAGAAACTCATATACTGTTTACACACCTTATACTGGCTTGCTTTTGCTGATGTTGCAATTGAATGAAGACTTATTGATTGAATAATTCAAAATATGGCAACAATTTGCTATATGCATCATTTAAATAGGATGGAGGAAACAGCAGCCAAACAATTCATTAGTTTCTGTTCAATAGGAACTTCTATCTTTGATGTTTGCATTTCCATAATTATATTCATAATACTAATGATCATTCACTTTATTGCACAATTTTCATTGGTTTAATTTGCAAAGCCAGTGGAAAGCATTTATTTTGAAAAAAAAAATGCTCTAATTTTTACCGTTATGTGATTAGTTTATACTTTCTTTCCAAAACATAATTACAAGATAACACAATAAAAGAAATTATGCTGCAGAAAGTAACATGAGAGTACAAAACTTATTAAAAAAATTCAAACTAATGCAATCAAATTCAAACTAATGCAGTTCACGGAATTCCATGTGAATTTAACTAGAAAAGAGCAATTGTCTTTCATTCAGCAGTATCCTCTGACAGTATCCTTTTCATTTAATTTTGTTCAAATCCATTAGGAACCTGCAAAATCAACACAAGTAATAATTGTGTTTTCCCAACACACTTCATATCAGGAAGTGGTTAATGAATTGATTGCTTCGCCACAGTTACTTTGAAATCAAAGATAATTAAAGAGGGATATATTGAGATAGCCTAAATAATTGAACATGACAGTTTGGTTATTGTTTTGATGTTCATGTCAACTTTTCAAAACTCTGGTCCTTTATTTTGTTGAAGCGAAAAAGCATTTATTTTGAAATAAATACCTCACGTAGCAAAAAAGATTTGACCTTTCACAATTGTACACTAGGTGTACAAGTGAACACCATGAAGCAATTTTCACTAAGTCTGCTTTCAGATTCACACATCATATTAGCTGGGTTCAACTCTGCAGGAGAATATCGCTAAAGTGCAGTGAGTGGAATCGGCTTCATCGTCTGACATGCCTCCTCATGGAGCTTAGGCAGGGGTGGATCCAGAGTTATTTTCTGACAGTCTTCCAGTTTATCTTTGTTGATCCATCCTCCATTTTTGACCGTCTTCCGATATAAAAAACCAGATACCCATCAATGTAAACTTGAAAATCTGACCGTCTTCCGGAAGACCCAGAAGACGCCCTAAAACCGCCCCTGTTAGGGGTAATAACTATGGTGTGCTGATTCCACTGATTGCACTTGAGTGTGTGAATCTGAATGTGCCCTAAAACTAAATGCATCAGTTTCATTGGATGAGGACTTACACCCCATTTCCATAGATTTTTAGATCGATCTATCCCTGTGGGGAGTCTCACTAGATTACTGTCAGCTTGGCCGGCTTAAGCATCTGTCCCACCTACTAAAAGCTATATGGGGGTAATTAACTATGGTGCCCACTCAGCTGACTGCAATTTAGCGTGAACCCCAAGGGAGTTAGGTCCATCTAAAACTTAATCTTTAGATCGATCTAAATCTCTGGGAAAGTACCCTTAGTTAATTGGGGAGATGTGCAGGCTACTGGGTGTGAAGAAAACTTTGGGGGGGGAGGTTGGTGCCAAGAACGTGGAGAAATCTATTGTAAACCAAACACTGGATATCATTGCCATAAAGGGGAAGAATGTATCCCAGAAAGCTGTTCTCCAGTTGAAGTTCTTTCCCCATGTCCAAGGAGACCTCGATGTGACAGACAGTCTCTCCAGAAACTTAATGACTATTTTTGTTTTAACTTTGTACATTTTGTAAAATCTTTGTGTCCGTGTATATAAAACTTAGAAATGTGTCCATTGTATTGATGAACAGTAGTAATACAGACAGTGATACATTGAAAGCGGGAAAANGTGAGAGAGAGAGAGAGAGAGAGAGAGAGAGAGAGAATCTCATGCATATCATTATCAGGTACTCACTTTGCTATGACTGGTACCAGCTCCCTCTGTGTAAATAGAGATGTGAACAAATATTTTTATATATGTAGCAGGGCTTTTATATGTAGCAGGATAAGGGGTATGGGCCATCCAAAATAATCTAATTTTCTTCAAAGTTTCAGTGAGTCCTACTTTTTCAAGTGCTGTGAGGGGGATTTAAAAATAAACCTAAAAAAAAATATATATATAAAATAAAAATCCAGGGGGGCTAACAATAATTGGCAACTGTATGTACTGCTGACAATCTTCCACAAGGGAAGTCCTTCAAGGGAAGTCCTTCTTGTCTCGCTTGGATTGCGAACGGTCTCCCACTGAAGATATGAAAATTACTTTCTTGTCTTGCTTGGATTGGTACTATCTCTGGCTGAAATTCTTCCACAAATGAAATCCCTTGCCAGTGGTTCAAATGATGGCTGGATGGTTCCCTGGGAAAAGCTATGATATGAAGTCAATATTGGGTGCCAGTTTCACCAAATCTAAGCAAATTTTCTTGACATTAAAAGTACACTGTACACCTTTTAACAATTTTCTCAAAGTCATATTTTCTAAGTCTGCATATCCTACAAAGAAATCTTTCCCAATTTAAATCTTAAAAACTATAAAAATTATTTAATAAAGGTACATGTTATTAACAGTTACTCTGAATTGTGAAGGAGGACATGGTGTTCTAAATGACTGGCCAGTTTAGAAACTCATATACTGTTTACACACCTTATACTGGCTTGCTTTTGCTGATGTTGCAATTGAATGAAGACTTATTGATTGAATAATTCAAAATATTGCAACAATTTGCTATATGCATCATTTAAATAGGATGGAGGAAACAGCAGCCAAACAATTCATTAGTTTCTGTTCAATAGGAACTTCTATCTTTGATGTTTGCATTTCCATAATTATATTCATAATACTAATGGTTATTCACTTTATTGCACAATTTTCATTGGTTTAATTTGCAAAGCCAGTGGAAAGCATTTATTTTGAAAAAAAAATGCTCTAATTTTTACCGTTATGTGATTAGTTTATACTTTCTTTCCAAAACATAATTACAAGATAACACAATAAAAGAAATTATGCTGCAGAAAGTAACATGAGAGTACAAAACTTATTAAAAAAATTCAAACTAATGCAATCAAATTCAAACTAATGCAATCAAATTCAAACTAATGCAGTTCACGGAATTCCATGTGAATTTAACTAGAAAAGAGCAATTGTCTTTCATTCAGCAGTATCCTCTGACAGTATCCTTTTCATTTAATTTTGTTCAAATCCATTAGGAACCTGCAAAATCAACACAAGTAATAATTGCGTTTTCCCAACACACTTCATATCAGGAAGTGGTTAATGAATTGATTGCTTCGCCACAGTTACTTTGAAATCAAAGATAATTAAAGAGGGATATATTGAGATAGCCTAAATAATTGAACATGACAGTTTGGTTATTGTTTTGATGTTCATGTCAACTTTTCAAAACTCTGGTCCTTTATTTTGTTGAAGCGAAAAAGCATTTATTTTGAAATAAATACCTCACGTAGCAAAAAAGATTTGACTTTTCACAATTGTACACTAGGTGTACAAGTGAACACCATGAAGCAATTTTCACTAAGTTTGCTTTCAGATTCACACATCATATTAGCTGGGTTCAACTCTGCAGGAGAATATCGCTAAAGTGCAGTGAGTGGAATCGGCTTCATCGTCTGACATGCCTCCTCATGGAGCTTAGGCAGGGGTGGATCCAGAGTTATTTTCTGACAGTCTTCCAGTTTATCTTTGTTGATCCATCCTCCATTTTTGACCGTCTTCCGATATAAAAAATCAGATACCCAAAAATGTAAACTTGAAAATCTGACCGTCTTCCGGAAGACCCAGAAGACGCCCTAAAACCGCCCCTGTTAGGGGTAATAACTATGGTGTGCTGATTCCACTGATTGCACTTGAGTGTGTGAATCTGAATGTGCCCTAAAACTAAATGCATCAGTTTCATTGGATGAGGACTTACACCCCATTTCCATAGATTTTTANATCTCTGGGAAAGCACCCTTAGATACCATGTGTTAATAATTTTAATATTTTATCATTATGTTCATAAGTTCTCATGGTTTATTAGATCTCATGAGGGGGTAGGTGAAGGTTCTCATGGTTTGTTAGATTTCATGAGGGGGTAGGTGATGACAGGAAATGGAATTATTATTGAAAAGTTTTGCATTATTTCAGAGTGCATTGATTGTATGCACCAAGTGATAAGCTCTTTGTTAAGTATAATTGCATTTCTATCATGACTTGTGAAAATTTTACCACAATCTGGGCAAATTTGTCATGATTTTAATTCTTTAATCTCAGACTAATAAATGATATTCTAACACATTTTAAAGGTATTTCACATGTATCTGACACTGCTTCACATATTTTGTTTTATCTTTTTAGTTAAACCTGACCCCATTGAGCTCAGAAAAATTTCTTCTGGGAAGAGGAATCTAACACTGGAGTGGCAGGAATCATCAGATGGGCAAAGACGCAACCAGATGGCATACAACTATACAGTACACTACAACTGTACAACACCTTGGGGTGGAGAGGAAGTTCTTGTAAGTAATTTCTCACTAACAGAGTCTTATTCTTCACTTGTGTCAATATGAACATGCATTTGATAGAATCATTTCATTTTATATATCTAAGAATAGTTTTTATGCAGTGACTAATTTTAAATGACTGATGTGCATGTAAGAAATGAGCCGTGTAAACCCCAGTTAAGTAAGCAATTGGAACTTACTATTCATAAGTCTTTGGAGTATTAGATATTGTCAAATGAAACTCTTAATTCTAAAAGTGAAGGTAGAAAAGAGGATTAGAGCATACAGCATTTTGGCATTATTCAGTATGAATGCATGTCTTTACAAACCTTTGTTAAGTAGTATTTTATCAGTCATTTCTGACAATCCTTATGTTTTCAGTTGGATCACTTTTCTAATGCATTCAAACTCAAAATTCATTCATTTTAATGTTAGTATGTTATCGATGAATTTTGGAAATAATTCCATTTTTCAGAAAAGAGAAGTTCACAAGTTAACTAAGGTTAAACTAGAAAACCTGTGGCCAGACATAGAATACAGAGTGGGTGTTACTGCCATCCCTGTTATTGGTGGTTATGATAGTGATATGAAGAACACTTTGACAGTTAGAACACTTCCAGATGGTAAGTTTCTGATGAGTTTATATTCATTATTTTATTGATTGACTTTAATTTTTATTGCATATCAATAACTTTTGCAACAAAAATAATGCCTCAAAAAAGTTAAATAAAAGACAATCTTATTTTGCTAGATGTGCTGTGGTTGGAGATTCATGGAAGGGGGAGCGTGCTTCCCAAAAACCAAAATAGGGGGCCTCACACTCCTTCTAAAAAAAAAGGAAAGGAAAGATTAAATATGCACTGAGATCCACAATGACCTATCCAAGTGTGTCATCTTTACAAAATTTCAGTCTGTCAAAGGGGAATGAGAGTGAGACCAGATATGTTTTATACCTGCATATACCCTAACCTGTGCCCTTCTCACTAGAATGTTTGGACTCAATTTTGAGTATGTGTACCAGTTTGTGCACCTCATTTCGATAATCAGTGTTTAAGAGAAGAATAGCTTTATGAATGTCTCATTAATACTATTTTATTTTGATTTTTAGCCCCAGCTAGTCCTCCAATAAATAGACCAGAATTGTTCTACAGAGATGAAAGTTGTGGCCTAAATTGCCAGAATATTAAACTGTTTTGGCAGGTGAGTATTTTTAATGCCATTCAAAATGAAAATGATTTACTTCATGCTTAGAATATAAGTACAATGTTTTATTTAGTTCTCTTGTTTTTAACTTACCTATGCAAGTTTGATTATTCCTCACCATTTAGTTCTTCAAAGACCTTATAGATCACATAGTCATGAAAGTTATCTGATGCCATCCAAGTCAGTCATTTTTTATAATTTTTTTCTTAGACTTTTTGATTATCTAAATAGATTGTGAAAGTTTACTAAGATTAATTACTCAAATACAGTTTTAACCAACCTTCCTTCTAAGTGGTATTTAGTTGTGACTGTTATTTCTTGGTATGAAAAGTGTCCAGAAGCTCACAGTCATTTATTTTAGATAAAACTGTAAATAATTTTCAAGTACATTGAACCTTGAAATGATTTCCCTCTTTTCCTCTTTGTTTGCATAAATCACTACCATCTGGAAACATATTTTCCATATTTTGTTTTTCTGGACGATAATTAAGTTACTTAACAGACTTAACTCTAAAGATAAAGGAAATTCCCACATTCCATTTGATTTATTTTGTATTATGTTGTAATCTAGTATTATGTCTCTGATTTTTTTATTGCAATCTTAATTCTTTATAATATTCCGAACATTTTTATTCTTATCCTTAGTTTCAAGCATTTGGTAGTTACTTTGTTGCTTCAAGATTTGTTTCTGAATACTTGTTTTTGCAGACATGTTGCTAATAAAGGTCTCAAACAAATATTTTTTTCTGTTATAGCCTGTGCTACCAATGGACAGAAATGGGGAGATAACACATTACTTAGTTACCCCAAACGGTACCTCAAACAGCATGTATGTTGATAATAGAGCCTACACATACACTGTAGAAAAAATCCTTTCACCCAAAGAAAAACATACCATGCAACTGCAGGCCATAACAAAGGGAGGCTCATCCCCTATAGCATACTATTACATCCCCTCCGTGTCTGAGGGTGAGTAGAAATACCAGGTTGCTTTAGATGTGCCTTGTGTCACACCCAACACAATTTTTGCTCATTTTGTTAAATTTTCTATTGGAAACTTTCTTCTGTTTATAAACTCAATTTTATGTATGGAACTGTTAAAGGGGCTGCTAAAACAAGTAATGATTTAGTTTTATTTGTTCTTGTCACCTTTTTTTAAAGGCAATATTATTAATATCTGTTCATATGTGCAAGCTTGTTCTGAATTTGAAGTTGTATATTTATATTCCCAATTCAAGGGTTTTTTCTTTTTATTTATTGTCTCATAATTTATTTATTTATTTGCTTAATTTCCTTTGTTTTTTATAGACCCTCCTATGGTGAAGCAATTGGCTGTCACCAAAGTGGACAATAATACTAAAGTTTTAATGACATGGCGTGTGCCAGATGATTTCACTGTTACCTTATTCTGGTGTAAAAGCACTGCAGAGATTTGTAATGTATGTACAATTTATGTTCTTTGATTTGTGTGATATGTTTTGGCTTGCTGTCAGTTTTTGCACACTGGTCTCTTACATTCCTTTTAGAACAAACATATTATTTGTTCTTTTTCAAAATGTGTGCCCCAAGTATCTTAGTAAAAGAAGCATGCAATTTTATTTTTTTTTTGACCAAAACAACTTTTGCAATGTTGTAACAGTTGTTTAATTAGTAAAGTAGAAGAAGAAGAATGCATGTTTTCTTTTTTCAAATAGGAAAAATTATGCAAAGCTGTAACAGTTGTATAATTAGCATAATTTCTAAACTTGATATTGGTTTGTTATGTAACAGACACAGTAGATATAAAGATCCCTCAGTGAAAATCAAATTCTTTATTAGCATAGAGTCTGAGGAAACCATTGGATGTGATTGCAACAAGCTAGTGAACGATTGTCATGCTTTATATTTTAAATTTTTTCTCGTGACTTATATGAGTACCAGCTGATGAGCCCCTTTATTTCACAGGTTAATAAGATTTACATAAAATATACCAATTTTCAGGAATCCCCCAGTTGGCAGACAATCTCTGGCAAGAATTCTTCCTTCCAAGTTCCATTCAATGGCACTGAAGCATTTGAAGAGTTCCAGTATGCTGCTGCAGTCACTGTGAATGGAATAAGTGGTGGATTAACATGGAGCCAATGCTTGTATCAGGAAGGGGCTGGTAAGGACCCATTTTCATTTTCTTCATCTCTGTTTTCATTTTCCACCCACCATAGTCTTGTAAACCAGACCAATTTGATTTAGCTACACTACAACTGATAACTTCTTTGGCAATATTCCATAGGTTTGGCACCATATTTATTACAACAATGACTCAAAATTTCTCTTATTTCTAAATGTATTTATATGTATTTCAGTGCCAGCAAGGGGCCCAGTCTTGAAGAGCACATCCCTACAGCCGCACAACCAGGTCACTGTGGAGTGGGCCCAGATGTCCTGTGAGGAGACAGGCAGTGCACAAGTGGTAGCCTATGTTGTAGAGTATGCTTATGTCACAGAGGAGCTGAACTGCTCAAATATAAGTAAGAATTTTGCTTCATATTGAATTTTTTTGTAGTGTAGGTCAGACAAACAATTTAATAACAGAAAATTATGATACAATTATATACAGTATTTTATTTATTTTGTATAATTTGGTTGCTTAGATGTGAAAAAGATATTTGGTTTCTAATCTGTTTTTAACAAGTGTTACGAGTTATATGATGTACAAATACCTCTATGTTTGCATTTCTGATAAAGAATTGCCTTTCAATGTGAAGCCATCAGTTTAAAATTAATAACTAAGAATATGTTGAGAATGTTTAGCACCAGAATTCAAACTTTTACCTTGTGCAACTTTCAACAATAAACTGAAGTAGCAAGCACTGTTAAACTGAAATTTGCTATTTAATGTCTGAAGTGTAACTAGCTCAGGGGACTGAATTGATTAAACTGCTTAGACTTGCTTTTATTTTGTTATTACAAAGCTTATGCAATATTTAATTTACAGAATCCAGTGTGTGGGAAAGGGTGTCCTTGGATGACCCAGAAACCTTCATTTGGTCCATGGAGGATTTAGAAGCTGGTAAAACCATGTGTGTGAGAGTTGCAGCAAAATCCATTGTAGGTTTAGGACCATTTAGTATACCAAAAATGGTCAGGATCAGTGGTGAGTTTATAGGGACATGTGCATCCCATATTAGCCATAAAAACAAGCTTTATTACATTGCATCAAAGTATGTAAAATATTATTCCTTTCCAGTACATTATTAAATTAAAAAACTATTTGATTTGGCTGCAAAAGAAAATCTTTATTCATTGAAAAAAAATGAGTAGAATAACATCTTTTTTTTTCATTTGAATTGGTAAAATTATGACCTTAGAAGTTATTTTATTAAATTACTTTGTTTGACTTTTACAGTGCATTGTAGTGCTCATTAAAATTGAGAGGATTTGATTCCTTATTGAATGCAGATACATTATTTATATATTTTATATTTTTAGGATTACTTAAGGGAGAAATAGCTGGTATTACAATTGGTGTTGTTGTCTGCACTGTCTTAATCATTTTGGGAATCATTTTGTGTTTCAAGTAAGTGTAATGTATCAGTTCAATGTGAATTTGTGACCATAGAACTATCACCAGTAAGGATTATGTATGTCTGATAAGATTTCTTTGGAATGATAACAGTATCTTAATGTTAGTATTAAGATTTCTTCTTGGAAACATTTCCAAAAAATTAATTTCTGTTGAAATAATTCTCTTTCACAGGAGTGGTCGCAACTGTTACAAGTATATGTTTAAGAAAATAGAGATAAACATTCCAGAGAGTCTTGAGGTAAGTATCTTTTGATAAATTTAATTTACATATCCTAAGATCAGGTCTACTGAGGATGCTGTTAATATTACTTAACACGATATTGCCTTTAAAACTGCACAAGAAACATGTTAATTATCTCAATTTTAACACATCACACAGTGACTGGATTTCAAATTTTTTTAATCAACCACACTCAGCGAGTCAAAGTTGGATGTAATTTCTGCAAGACCGTAGACATAAACACTGGCACACGGAATCATATTAATTTTCATTTATACTTTAACTGTATAAACATGACAATAAGTAAATTATTATTATTATTATTTATTATTATAATTATTTTATCCTTTAAGCCCTGCACTGTTGTGCTTATGTGTCAGCTTTTGCAATATCACAACGAATATTTTTCAGCTTAATTTAATTTTTAATATATATTTTTTTCAATTTGTCTTCATGGTTATTTAACTTTAAATATTTTAGCAGTTTTATTGCACCAATTTCTACTTTATCTTTTAATGTAATAAGAACAATTGGTTGTGTCATTAGGGCATGTTTTTCTCAATGTGGCGGCTGTTGTGAAGCCTCAAAAATGAATGTCCATTGTTTTTTTTTTTTTTTTTTTTTTTTTTTTGGGGGGGGGGGTCTC